GTGATTAGGACAGGTAGAGTTTTTTTTTTTTTTTTTTTTTTTTTTTTTGGCGGTACGCGGGCCTCTCACTGCTGTGGCCTCTCCCGTTGCGGAGCACAGGCTCCGGACGTGCAGGCTCAGCGGCCATGGCTCACGGGCCCAGCCGCTCCGCGGCATGTGGGATCTTCCCGGACCGGGGCACGAACCCGTGTCCCCTGCATCGGCAGGCGGACTCTCAACCACCGCACCACCAGTGAAGCCCAACAGGTAGAGTTTTATGGGTGAGTCTTAGAATGCATATGGAGGTAAACATGTTAATGATTTATAAGATGTTCCACTGAGTAAATAGAATCATTGTTGTCCTCATTAAAACAATGGTAGAAAATTTATACGTGCTTTTTAGTAGAAAGTGGTATTTCATTTACATGTGGTTTTATTTCTACCGCAGTATCACTGGATCAACTGTGAGAAAATATTTAAATCTCACAAATTCAAGCACCTTCTGTTTCCTAAACATTCACATGGTGTATATATGTGCTCAGAGAATGTTCACCTAATAAACTGTTTACTGACTAATGAAAGAAACTCCGTTTAAAAATAAGAATGATACAATTTTTTTATGGAGTGTGCCATTTCTGGAAACTCAAATAAAAAGGATAAAGATTCTTTCACTTCTCATTTAAAAGCATAACATTTTTGTTAGTATTTTACTTAAAATTTCTTGGCCCAGAAGACAAAAATGTACGGCATTAGATTCACTACTTTAATGATGTGACACAGAAGCAAAAACATTCTTTTCTACCTATGGTGTTGGTATGATTGCCTTTTTAGGAGAGAAAAGAACAACACAATAAATTCCTGTATGGTAAGTCTTTTCCCACCTCTTTAGTTTAAACCTCAAAGGTAATACATATTTAGCAAGCAGACTGGTACCATAAAAATATGTTTGAAATGTGGTAATCATTTATAACATTTGCATGCATTTAATGACTTATGATTACAGAAAGAATGATTTACATTTCACATACTGAGAAAACTTACTCAGTGTCTACTTAGATTTAGCAATGCTCTTAAAACCATTTATGAAAACAACCAGTGTCTAAACACTTGCTATCAGCTGTTTTAGCTCTGCTTTTCATAAATATAACACAATCACAACAAATTAAAGGCAAGTCACTTGACTGTCCTGTTACATTAGCTTGAAGAAATTAATGGCTGGCAATGCTTAGCAGAAAGTGACAGGGCTTTCTCAATAGGCTCACACAGCAATTTTTCTGGGGAAAGTAAGAATCATATCTTTATCAAAATATACAAAATTTTCTTCCTAAGATAATGCCATTCAATCTCACTGATAAAAGTACAATTGTTGTGCTCCTAAAATAGATAGAAATAAGTAGCTACTGTAATTCTTCAGCCCATAAAGTCATTTGTTGGGAGGGAAAAAATGTTATTTTCCTTGAAATTTTCTGATGAGTTACCCTGGATTGGTGATATTACCTATGTGAATGACCTAGAGACAGAACGCAGATCTGGGGCTGCCTGACTCCATGGCTAATGCTCTTTCCTTTCCATCACACACCTCTTATTTAACTCCTTTGCAAGAAAAAATAAACAAGTCTCTCTGGGTTCCTACACCCTCCCCCCACAGCACCCACCTATATTTTCTATCAGGAGTGGTAGATATCACAGGTTGAACTGGGTTCCCCCCCTAATTTATATCTTGAAGTACTAAACCCCAGTACCTCGAATATGACATTTGGAGATAGGGTCTTTACAAAGGTAATCAAGTTAAAATAAGGTCATTAGGGTAGGCTCTAATCCAATATGACTTGTGTCCTTATAAAAGGGGGAAAGTTGAACACAGAAAAATGTATAGAGGAGAGACAATGTAAAGAGACAATAAAGAGAAGATAGCCACCTACAAGCCAAGGAGAGAGGCCTGGAACATATCCTACGCTCACAGCCCTGGAAAGAACCAACCCTACCCATACCTTAATCTTGGGCTTGGAGTCACCAGAACTGTGAGCCAATACATTTCTGTTCCTTAAGCCATCCAATCTGTGGTACTTTGTTATGGCAGCCCTAGCAAACTAATATAGTAGGCTTTGGACAGAAAAGCTAGAGTTCAATGAAGAAATAGTATGAATGAAGGCAGGACTGGGCTTGCATTTGGGAGACAACTGCGACCACAGCAGGAGATCAGGAAGGAAAGGTTTAAGTGGTAATCACAGTATGAGGAACAATGTCCTCTGTCCATTCCCATACTCTATATCCTTGTGGCCTCCATATTCAATCTGTGGTACATTGTTTTGTTCTTATTCATGGAGACTCATACAATTATTATAGGCTAGAAACAACTTCAGAGATCATTCCTTTCAATTATATAACATTACAAGGGTTTTCAGAAAGTCTTTATCTAAATCCTTCAAATCAAAACCTTATCATCTGTTCCCTTACCTAGTTGTTATTTGACAGCTAAGGAAACAAACTTTTTATTGTCTTCTAATTATTACAATTCCAAAAGTCATTTCCCAATGTTAGATAGTACGTTTTCTAGCAACTGAGACTATTGTCTTTTTCTGTTCTTTCATTATTCAGTTTTGGCTATCGATCGATGAGCACGATTTCACTGTGTGAAATTTCCTAGGATGCAAAAGAGCGATTTATGAGCTATAAATAAAGCCCAGACAAGGTACAGTGAAAACACAATGGAGAGAAAACTTATTGGGTGGCTACTGCATAAAAGGGAAGTCCTAGGGGTTTCTTCTTATATAACCTAATTTTATCTGTTTATCAACTCTCTCACCCTGTGGATTGCTAGACATATTTCACAGATGAGAAACTGAGGCTGAAAGAAGTAATTTCAAGTAACAGAGATGGTAGGTTACTGAGCTGAGATTTGAACCCAGAAAAGCGTGTCTTCCAAACTATGCCTTGGCTATGGGGCCATACTTCCTCTGGCTTAGAATATTTGTTAACAACTGATGTTATCAGAGGCAATACTCATGTAACAGGAGGACTATAACTCTAAAGCTAAATGAAGACTCCTGATACCTGACACCCCATCATATTTATCATGAGTTGTCATCACATGCTTATTTGTTTAACGTGGACACCTCAGCATACTTTAAGCACCCTGAAGGTCAGGATGAGCCTGTTTTGGTCACCATTGCATCTTAAGCACCGAGGGCACAACCAGCTATATAAGGTACTCAATTAATATTTGTTGAATGGCTACATTAACAAATAATTGAATCTAGCTTAAATTTTAATTAGGCTGGTGTTACGAGCTGAATTTTATCCCACAAAAATTTATATGTTGAAGTCCTAACCCCTAGTACCCCGAAATGTGACCTTATTTGGAGACAGGATCTTTACAGAGATATCTAAGTTAAAATGAGGTCAGTAGGGCAGCCCTAATCCAATGACTGGTGTCCTTCTAAGAGGAGGGAATTAGGACACAGATATGTACACGGGGAGACAATGTCAAGAGACAGGGAAAAGGAGGCTGTTTACGAGCCTGAAACAGAGATTCTTCCCTGATAGCCCTCAGAAGGAAGCAACTCTGCAACACCTTGATTTCAGACTTCTAGCATCCAGAACTGTGAGAAAATAAATTTCTATTCTTTGAGCCACCCAAGCTATAGTACTTTGTTATGGCAGCCCTAGCAAACTAATATGTGATATATTGAAACTAATTCTCTTTCAGTAAAAAGGTGTATGTTAAGATTTGCCCACTACTCAGTCAATGATATCCAAAGTTTTACAGCTGTTCCAGGAGCACTATCATCCATTCTAAGACAACAATTCAACTTAATGCATCTTATACACTGCCCTGGCCAGTTCTAAAAGAAGGCCTATACCATGCATCCCAGAAGGAAGACTAATTATTAAACAATAGAGTTACTCCTTTGGCAAAGAAGAAATGGTATGTTAAACAGGTTGTACAGATTTAGAAGATAACATTGATTTTAAAAATCAATGGAAGGCCTCAATTTTTCCTTTTCTGACCATAGTCTTTGGCAGGCAGTCAGTACAAGAGTCAATAGCGATAAGTGAAGTTGGTTTGCATTTCGAATTTTGCTGGAAGCTGGGGGAAGGAAACCTAAGAAACGCAAGTTCAGTGCCAAAGTAGCTGATTTTGCCGTTAGGAGAATTCACAAGGCTCACAGCTAAAAAGTGAGGTGGCAGAGCAGCAGCCCAACATACCTACCCGCTGGGTTCTTTTCTGGAGGCAGCCCCTTAGGTAAACCATACAGTCTCCCAAAGCTTCTTGTCACGTTTCTCTTCACTGGTGTAACCACGATAACGCTAATGTCTTGTTTTAAGGATTCTACTGGGTATTGGGGTAGATTTACTTCATAACAGTTCATCTTTCAATTGGCTGGGGCTGTAATCACAGGAACTGACCCCCCTTCAAATCTAAAAATCCACAGATCTCATTTATATTCATTTAGTTTCTTCAAACATGACAAGTAGGGAGAATTCTACCGTGATAAAACCAGGATTTTGATATTTTCAAATGCTTTTTTAAAATTGAAAAGTAAACATCCAGGAACATGAAAATGATTTGGGCTTATATTCTAAATGTAGGTTAACTACACTGAGGTATATAAACACTCTAATTGTAATTGTAAATTACCATGTTGTGCAGGAAAACAGACATATGGCAGGTATCTTCATTCACTGAGCTGCACTACAGCTCTTTAACATTAATGGACATCTGATTAAAAAAACCCTAATTTTTAGCAATGCCTTTCCAACTGATATGTCCCAATACTCCTGCATTTAGAGAACTGCCTTTCTTTTACAGAAACTACAAATCTGACTAAAAATGAAAAGGCCAGATTTATTATTCTAAAATATTGTTTTATAATGAGAAATTACCATTTAGAGACAAGAAAGACTAGAAGAATGAATATTTTTAGGAATCTTAGATTTTCTGGAGTCTTTGTTTAGATATATTTCTTGAATTTTTAAACTGTATAATACATACAGCAAATTTTTAAAAAAATCACCAGTAATACCTATTCTAGATTTTTTTCCCTGTAATATACCTTTTTCCTTAAAAAATAAAAAATGACATCATAAAGTTTAATAAATTGTTTTGCCTCATTCAACAATCTTTTCTGAACTGTTTGTCAATTTTTACCCTATATGGTGTTCCTTTTTATTTATTTAACCCTTTGTTGAACATTGTTTCTAACTTTTCGTTGTTAAAATTAAAAAAAAAATGCTGTGATACCACCCTTATCACTAAATTTTTGCATACATATAACAATTATTTTCTTATAAACATTATTTAAAAGTTGAAATGATGGGCCAAAGGAAAAGCACATTTAAAAAACTTCTCATATGAATTACCCAACAGCCTTTCATGAAGGTTGTACCAATTTACATGACCACAGATGGAACAGCCAAGTACTTGTTTCTTTTATTTTGTTCATCACGACCACAACACTGTGTTCAAATTATTGTAGTTTCATAACATCTGGTAGAACAAGGCCCTAACGCTTTACCTTCAAAATTTCCATATTTCCCCAAGTTTCATTCTTTCAGTTTAGAATCACTTTGTCAAGTAATACTCCCATATTCCACTAGCATTTTATTTGAATGGAATTGTAGTTTTCATTGTAAAAACATTGTTCTACATAGATAATACAATTTTGTACCCTAAAAAGAAGTCATAAATGGATTCTGCCAAGGAAATCAGTACTGTTTAGTAAGACTATTTCTAGAAGAAAGTCATAAACAAAAGTGGCTATTCTGAAAAATAAATCCTTATGACACAGTTTTAGTATAATAAACAATGATGTATACTACACACATTTTAGAAGTATGAAATAATAGAAAACAGATGCTATTTTAAGAGCAGGATAATGTTTTGGAATAAGGAGGGATCTCCTAACACCTCAAGTTTTCTTAGACAAGAAGTAGGAAAACTTCTAGGGAAGGGAGAAATTGTTCTTTATGATAAGAATCTAATTAAAGTGCCAAGGAATGATAAAAGCATAAGAACAATAAAGGCAATAATCAATACAGTATTTGGTCTGAATTTGAAAGACTTATGTAAGAACTGATTCAGGGCCTTTATACTGTACTGGCTAGAGATACCCAGAAAATACAGACTTGAAGAAAATCAGGAATTACCTATTAGTTTTCAAGGGAAAACTCTCAAAAGTAAGATGGCCAACGGGAAGGTGTTGCTTAAATTCTAAAATCGTAGATCTACACAGTCATGGTCCCCATTGAAATGTGATGAAGGCTACCATCACCATCTCTGAAGAAAATGCACATATGTACAAACATGCTATTCTGCTTATACCTCAAAGAGGTTTGGCATCTTCAGGTTAAGAATACCTGCCTTGTCAAAAGGAAATACAAGATAAAGGAAACATTTGATACAGAAATTTTCAGAATGATGGCAAAGATCTCATTGAGTGAGTGGTTGGAATTTATGTTTTTAACTGAGGTAGGGGAAAATCTGGCAAATGTGAAGACTTTGGACTGTTGTTTGGAATCTGCCTCTACTAACTCCTCCCCTGAAATTGTTCTAAGACATGTACCCGTAACATCTTTGTTAATGAAATGATATAGCTTACTTAATTTATGTTATTTGATCTCTGACATATGACACTGCTGACCACTGACAACATACTCTTGGTTTTTTGAAGTTTGGCTCCATTTTCACTAACCTACGTGTCTTGACAGTGCTCTACTTTCAGACATTGACGAGAGGAAGAAATACATATTGGAAGAAACTAGAAAAAAGCAATTAATAAAAATAAACCTAAAATTAAATAATTAGAAAATAAAAACAGTAAATAGGATTAAGAATAAAAAACTTGTTATTTGAAAATACCTGTAGATAAATTCTTTGTAAGACTGATTAAGGAAAAAAGTAGAGAAAAAAATGGACAAGATTAGTAAGCAAAAAGAATACATAAACTCAGGTATAGTATATGGTGACAGAATTATAAAACCATAAATATTACATGGAGGTGTACGGCAACAGGTGTGAAAACACAGAGGGATTAATGACTTCTGTTTAGTATACGATGACCCATATTGACCAATGTAGAAGAAGAAAACTGGAAAAGACCAATTTCATGGAAGAGATTGGAAAAGTGATTTAAGATGCACCACTGCAAAAGCCACCAGGGAGTTGGACAGTTGGATCAACTATCACAAATATCCTCTACAAAGCATTTCTGAGCTCAAAAGAAAGTAAGGGAAATTCCCAGGGAATAAACCAAACAGAGCTGAAAAGTGAATTAGAAAAAAACACATCTTTCAAGAAAAGGGGGAGAACCGGCAAACTCTTGTGTTTCAACAAGGGCTCTGGGTAGGCTCTATGTACTCTTTTCCTGTCCCATCCTCAAACCTTCCCCTGGAGGCAACGATTATCTTGGACTCTGTGTTCACACAAAGTTCTGCTTGGTTTTGATAGAAATAATACACTGACATAGTCTTCTGTGACCTGAGTTTTTCACTCAGTATTGTGTTCATAAGAATATCCCTATGTTTACTGATAACCACGTGGAATAAGAGACACAATTACTTTTCAATTAATAAACAGAGAGAAACAAAATATCCAAAACCATCTACGTTTTGGAATGTACCTTAAAGCCAATGCTAAGGAAAAACAAAGGGAAAAACAACACAGCAGTAAACTTCAACCTCCCTCCCCAAATTTTCCTAAACAGCTCCCATCCTTCTCCCTTACGTATTCTTAACTTCTTTAGACAACTAATGGAGGACTTAATGCTAAAAGCCTTTAAGTGAACCCCAGGGACCCGTTTCCCCGGGTTGGCCCTCCCCAGAAAGGCAGGCCCCTCAGCTGGAAAGCCTGGGGAGGCTCAGGGTGGTGGCTGGGGCAGAGAGGAGGGTTCCTCCCACAGTGAAAGGGGCAGGGGTACAACGGTGTAAAGTAGGGTCCCCCATAATGGGGGACACAGAAATGGAGTCCCGATGTCAGGGGAAAGCACACTGGTCCTCTTGGGAGAGAAGGTCCGACAGTCCCCACCTCCGCCAGTGGGGAGAAATCATTGCTTGGCCGACTGCCCATCTTGCTCCAGTTATGGAACCAAACTTGGATGAAGTCCTTCTGCAGCTGGAGCTGCCCAGCGATGCAGCTGATCTGCTGGGGTGTGGGCTTCTGGCACTGCAGGAAGAGTTTCTCCAGGCTGTTTCCGATGTGTCTCTCCCTGTATGCCCGTCTGCGCTTCCCAGCCTGCTGCAGGATCATCTCCATTTTGCATAAGCCCAGAAGGTTCTCCATGTCCATTTGCTCCAGCCACATCTTCAGCAGCAGTCGCAGCTTCCACATGTTGGTGAGGCTCAACTGCTGGGCCTCGAAGCGGCAGATGGTCGTCTGGCTCAGCGCCCTTCCAAAAAGAGCCCCCATGAGTAACCCCACGTCGGCCTGAGAGTACCCCAGGGTCATCCTCTTCTGCCTCAGCTCCTTGGCCAACTGCTCCATCTCCTTCTGTACGGCAGAGACGTCTTCTGGCAGCGCCAGCGTCGGGATGCACTGCAGGACGATGCAGGCCCCGGGGAAGGCGACCTCAGAGGGTCTTGGGAACCAAGCGCTCGCCTCGCCAGCTCCGACTCGGGGCCGGCAAGGCATCATCCCGTCCTGGAATTCGCACGGCGGGGGACCTGGGGACAGTGCCCACACCTCAGGGTCTGGGCACATCCCCGGCCTGACCTCTGGCCGGACCATCAGCCTGCCGGGGGCCGCCTGGGCGCTCAACTCGATTGGAGTGTCAACCCGCACCGGCACTGGCCCTGCGGGCCTGTCCCCACCAGTGCCCGGCACGGGGAAGTTTGAGGGGCTGTGTCCGGGCTTGGGGTAAGACCGCTCAGAGCAGGGAGTCTGGTAGGAACGGACGGCTCTTGAGGCTTCAGAACAGCCACCAGCCTCGCCCTTCAGCCCCGCCCCCCAGTGGGCTAAGGTGGCGGTGCAGGCGGGAGAAACTGAGGCCGAGGGTGTGTATGGGAGCTGGCGGGGGAAATCTGGTAGATCCTACTGATAACTGCCTGGTCCCCAGGGTTAAGGGAGGGGCTCCCCTACCCTGAACTTTGCTTCCAACTCCTTCCTAAGTGCAAGTCTCACTCTTGGGCTTTGCAGCTCCAAGCTGTCTGGGATCCCTTAGTCACTGAGTCCATCCTCTCCCTGAAGGGAACCTAGGTGTTTCCTTTCAGCTCTTCTGAACTCTGGTATCTAATCTCTTTCCTCCATGTAATGTGAATGACCGCTTCAGGCTTCACAAATATTTGTTAAATATCTCTATGCCAGGTTTTTTTTCTTTATGCTACCCCTTAATTCATTAACTGTCCCCTCACTGCTATCTTCATGGTCACAAGTACTGCCAACGTCTTTCCACTGCACATCTTCAGTCCCTGTGCCCTAGGAAACCTAAGCATCCCTGCCTGAATTTCTAGTTAACATCAGTTTACTGTCAGATTCTGTCCCTCACCCCTGCACTCCGTCAGATTCCACTCTCACTGGGGCCAAGTTTCCTGACTAATTCCATGTTTGCCCCACCAGTCCTTCAAGTCCTTTGCTCCCCATCCTACCTCAGCTTCCTGGTCCAGAGTTTCCACATACAACAGAGGCCTATGTGTTTCATCTCTCTCCCCTCTGGAGACAGGTCTCTGGACTGGCCCTACCTGCTGTTCCCTATGGAAGACACTCCTTGCAATACCTTACTCACCAACATCAGGCTCCTCTATCCCTGACACCTCTCCCATCAGAGACCCAAGGATCTTAGAATATTTGTCCCTCCATCATGTCCCCGGCTCGGGTAACCAGCCCTAGGCCCTGGGTGGAGAAAGCTAAGGAGGGAAGGGGAAGAGAAGATCAGACCTCAGGTTCAAAGCTTCCAAGGAGGAGCTTTAGGAAAGAAGAGAGGACAACGATCCTGGCTGGATAATCCCAGCCTCTTGCCCTTTCACTCTCCAACTCAACCATGATGAGGCTCTACTCTACCCACATCTACTGAAATTGCTCTTGATGAAGTCATTGGTGACCTTCCAACTGTCAAATCTGACAGCCTTTTAAAAGTCTTCATCTTATTAAACTTCTCTGCAGTATCTGACAATGCTGACTACTCTTCTTGCGCCTCTGTTTTAAATTCCATGAAACGCTGGTAACAGTCAAATCTGTATTTCAGCCTTGACTTTTCTTTTAATTTCCAGTCTGTATTTCCCATTGCCCCAAATCAAATTCATTATATGCATTTCTAAGCCCGCTGCTCCTCTAGGGCTCCCTGAGCTGGTTGATGGCATTATCACCCACTCAGTCACCCAAACTGAAACGCAGGAATTGTTCCTGACCTTTCCCATGCTCCACAGGGCATCAAATCTTCCGTTGTGGGTCTCCTAAAACAGCTGAGCTCTACGATCTCCTCTCTAGCCTCATCTTACTGTTTTAATTTAGGCCAAATAATTTCTCACTTGCATTATCATAATAACCTTACAATTGGTTTCTTCTGCGTCTCCTTTCAAGTTTATCTTTCATACCTGTGCTAGAGGTAATTTTCCCCAAACCAAACCAAACCAAAACAAAACAAACCTAACCAAACCCAACCGAGTGAAAAAAAAATCTAACCATGTCATTTTTCTCTTAAATTTTTTCAAAATCTAGCCCCTCTTTCCCCAATCAACAAGGTGGGCATTCCAAATCCTGAGTATGGAACACAGTGTTTTTCACCATCTGGCCCCCTCTTCCTTCCTTTCCCAGCCTCGTCTACCACACTTCCCCAAGTTCTCTGCACCCCCAGCTTACTCCATCCATGCTCAGTGGGAATACTTCACTTTGTAATAAAGATGCCACAATTTTCGTGGCTATTATGCTTTTCTTCATGCTGCTCCTTCTATCAGAAACAGCTTCCCCTGCTTGTTGGTCTCATTCTCTCATATCATTCAAGATTCTGCTCAAATGTCACTTCGACAGAGAAGCTTTCCCTGACCACTCTTTCTAAAACAGCAACCCTTGTCACTCTCTGTTCCCTTTATTAACCTACTCTTTTTTTTATATTAATAGGTACTGCCACCTAATATATAATTATTTATCTCTCTGTTTATTGTTTGTCTCTGTGCTGCCAAGAGAGCAGGGATTTTGCCTAGTTCACCGCTGTGTCTACAGGGCCCACAACTGTGCTTGGCTCAGTAAACTTTCCTGAGTAAATGAAGTGTGCTGTATTTCCAGTTACCTTTAAGTCACAGTTTAGAGGACACTTTATGGTGAGACCTTCCCCCAGGCAGAGTTAATTAATGCTTTTGTGGCCCCCTCCTTGTACTTGATATATGTTTTTACTGTAACATTTATCAGTAATTATTTATTTTATGTCTTTGTCTTTCCAGCTAGGTACTTAAGGGCATGCATGTAGATGTTATATAGCCTGGAACATAATAGAACCCTGAGTGATACACTGCTCAATAAATGTTTGCTGAATGAGTGAATGAATCCTCACCTCTACAGTCCTGAGAGTGAAGTACATTTAGTTTCAGTTTAACAATGAGAAACTTGACCCTACCAGGTGCCTCTCTGTACTTTCTCTCCTGTACTAGGACAGGCCCTTATGTAGATGGGGGTAGTAGTACTATGAGACTAAATTCAACTCAACACTATAGAAAATAAGGTTGTAGAAATGGCCTTGAAGCCATGGTAGAGGGAAAAAGAATCAAGAAATCGCTGCCATCTCTACAGGCTGTGTATTTGCTTATTTGTTGAATGCCTGCATCTCCACTGCAAACCTGGCTAGAATGTATGCTTGTAAAGAGCAAGGTCCTTGTCTGTCTGGCTTACTGCTAGATTCTCAGCATTTGGAACTATACTTGGCACAAAGTGGGAAGTCAAGAGATATCTGTTTAATGTTAAATAAATGAATCTCTGCAGCATTAATGGTGAAAAGACTTCCACATTTGCCTTGGGTTATGTTTTAAGATGACAGTCTATGAAAAACAGTTTGCAATATACAAAATTTCACTGCTATCTATTCTTTCTAAGTATACCTACATGCTGTTTTTTCAATATTACAAAGCAACCAGCGCCTGCTAAACACAATGAAAGGTGGATCACAAAGAGAATAAGAGACAACAATTATATAAGTTAAGGCCCACATAGTGAAACCAGCCCATTTGCAAAAGAAAACCACAGAGAAATGCTTCATAAGTTGTCTAAAAACAATAGGTAAGTAAAAATGTTTTTAGTGAATTGGAAAAAGTGAGGAAAGCTTCATTATATTAACTGAGATAAAACAGTAGCTTAAAACATTTACTAAATTAAAAAGTAAGGGTATATGAACTTGATGGGTTTTAAATTAACTTGGATACTCTCAATTAATGTTGTCTCTGTACTTGGTCGGATCTCATCTGCCACTGTGCCTATCTCCTGGTTTATGTATATGTGTTATTGTGAATAAAAACCCATATTCTTAAGAGAAGTCTTGACACCTCCTTCAAAGTATATTTAATGTGCTATAGAAATGGGGTGATCGGGGGAAAAAACCAGGAGCATATTTGGTTGGAACAGAAATAGGGATCAGGGAAGGCAGGTGATGGGAATGCCCAAGACGACCAGCACTGTTTGGGCTGGGGCGCTTGAGAGGCTAATCCATCACCTTCAACAAACCCTGAGACCCCTTAGTAAGTGATTAGATTACAATGTAAGAATCAGGCCAGTCTTACCCATAGGGAATTATAGAGTAAGGATAAGAAACACATGGTCCCAGGCCCCATGTATTTATAACCTAAACGGAGGAGAAGAGAAGCTGTCAGGAGAGCAGGACAGCTACATTTGCCCAAAGAGAAGTTAACGGTTTTCTATTATTAGGATCTTTGGAATTAAGAGAAAGTTAAGTTTTAAGCTGAAATACACAAAGCATCAGGATTTGTGAACTTAAGCTCTCCTTAAGTAGCTTCTAATCTAAGATGTCAAAAACAACTGCCAAGATCACTAATGGTAAGAAGCAGAAAACAGTGGAGGCAAAGTTAATGATAAATGTCCTTGTGGGTCTTGGTTCAAGTTTCATCTCTTTGAAAAGCTTGGCCAATACACTCAGGACTACAGTGATCTCCGTCCTCTCTGAACTTAGTGTCTTTCCATTCAGATACATTGTCTGCTTTATAAAGCCGGCTGGAGTTTCATGTCATACCTCCGACCCAGGAGATACGGAAATGTCTCTGAACAGACATTACAGATACCATTTATTTTGTACTTATGTGCCAAACAATGTGCTAATGCCTGAGCTATGCACAGTACTCTGAGGATGGTAAGTGCATAAAAGCACCTGGATGAGAGGGAGATCTGGTTTTGATTTACATCATCCTATTGATCGGTTATCTCGTTAACCAGGAAGGTGATCCCTGCTTCCTCATCTCTCCAAATGCATCTCTCCCAAAGCTGCTCATGCCCCAGATGGAGGACACAGCTTTGTTCAGGACTATGTGAGGAGTTTCATTTCTCTGTCGGAGGCTTGAAAAAATACTTTTTGAATGTAATTAGATCAACAGAGAAGATCTAAGAATAATGTACAAGTCAGGCAGAGAGGGCCAGGCCCGCTAGATGGTGCCAATTTTATAGTTTTTCCCACTCTACATGTATCCTAGTAACTGAGCATTGACCAGGCATCAGTGTGTAAAGGCACTGTCACCAGAAGGGCAGGTATAGGTCCCCAAGAACCACACTAGTCAAGGAGACAAAAAGCAAAGGCAGGAGACAAGATCCAGAGATCAGTTACTGGGAAGTCCCTCTCTGGGTTTAGGAAGTAAAGTGAGAAACCCAGGAGAACGGTGATAACTGTCCAGTAAGGAAAGATGCCTCCCACCTCACAGTGAGAGAGTTAACACCACACAACACAACAATTTAGTTCACTGAAACTACCTCAAAATACACTGAAATGATTAAACTGTCAATTCTCTGGGTGGATTTTCAAGTAGAAAACTATATAAAGCAAAGTGAGCGGGGGGACTCAAGATGGCAGAATAGAAGGACACGGAATTCGTCTCTCCTCACATATACATCAAGAATACATCTACAGATGGAACAATTCTCACAGAGCACCTGCTGAACATTAGCGGAAGACTTCGGACACCTAAAAGGACAAGAAAAATCCCCTCATAACCTGTAGGAGGAAAGAAAGAAGAAAAAAAGAAAGGGAAGCAAAACAGGGATCAGCACCCCTGGCGAGAAGCTGAAGGTGAGAGGAGGTCCCTGCACTCAGAAAAACTCCCTCTCGGTGGGGAAATTAGCTGCGACAGAAAAGGACCTTTGGGGGATCAGAGGAGAATGCAGCGGACAGTTTCTGAAGGCAGGACAAGGTAAGAACTACACAAGTGGTCAACACCGCAGCTCTGCGCATTCCAGCCTGAGTCCTGAGTTGCCAGTTGTGGCGGGTGGGGCTTGGTGCTGGAAGGTGGGATTTGGAGTGCGGACCCAGGAGGGGACAGCTGTTGGCTGTGAAAAGACAGCCTGGAGGGACAGGAGTAAGGAGCTACACAACCAGGAAAGTCTGCGGGAAAAGTGCGGGACACCATAGAAGCAAGGCGTCATTGTTGAGTGGCACGCAAGGGGCGGGGCCACCATTACAACCCCTCTCCCCACCTGCTGGCTTCTTCTGCCTCCACAGGCACTGGGAGGGGCTCCCATCTGAGTGGGCTTGCCTGCCCCTTGGGCCAGGGTCTCCTATGCCCACGTGCGCTCCAGGGGCCTGAGCGCCACCCATCCCAAAGCCTCCTTGGGAATCAGCCCTGGGCTCCCCTGCCTGGGACGGGAGTGTACTGATGCTGGCAGGGGCTGAATGCTAAAGTGTGGGGTTGGGAGAGCAGATCAGGGAGAGGAGCTCTGTTGGCTGCGCAGAACAGCAGAGGGGACGGGTGTCAGGGGATGCGTGGCTCCAAATGCCCCTAGGGGAAGCGTCGTCTGCCTGGAAAGTGAGGCATCATTGTTGAGTGGTGAGTGGTGGGGGGCTGCCCCTGCCCCCGCATGCCAGCTCCTGCCTCCACGGTCTCTGGGTGGTACTCCTGGCACAGCGAGCATGCCACAGTCCGTTGCAATGGCCTGCTGGTCCCTGCTGCTGCAGGCAACTCACACACACCCCAACTGTGCCCTCTGTACCCCACCCCAGCCCCAAGCAGCCACGGCTTTTGCTCCCTCAGCTGGGCAAGGAACAGATGCCTAAGGATGGCGCACAGGCGGATGCGGGGTCAAAAGCAAAGCTGAGCCCCAGGGGTGGTGCGACTGAGGAAGAGGAATGGAAATCTTTCTGTGCAGCTGCACAGGCCATGGATTAAATCCCCAAGATCGGCTTGGTAAATCCCACATCTGTGGAATACCTGAAGGGACAATGAGTGTTCCCACAACTGAGACTGGTCTGGCCTTCACAGCAGTGGACTCTGGGGGCAAGAACATGAGGGAGTTAGGTCAGGTCAGGGTCTGAGCTGGCCCCACAGAGTCCACAGCAGGTCCAGAGACCAACCTAGAAGTACTGGAAGGCCTCCAGGGGAAGTCGGGACTGGCTCTGGTTCACTGGGGGAGCAAGGACACTGACAGAGCAGGCCCGAGGAAAATATTCTTATTACAATTATTATTTTTTTGGGTTTGTTTCATTTTGTTCACTTGTTGGTGTTGTTGCTTTTATTCTTTTTTAACCTTTTTATTTTGTATTTTTTTGCGGTACGCAGGCCTCTCACTGTTGTGGCCTCTCCCGTTGCGGAGCACAGGCTCCGGACGTGCAGGCTCAGCAGTCATGGCTCACGGGCCCAGCCGCTCCGTGGCATGTGGGATCTTCCTGGACCAGGGCACGAACCCATGTCCCCTGCATTGGCAGGTGGACTCTCAACCACTGCGCCACCAGGGAAGCCCTTCTTTTTTTAATATATATATTTTTTATTTTTCTATTTTTACTTTATTTTTGTTGTTTTGTGTTTTTTTCTTGTTTTTGTTTTTTATTTTATTCTTTTTTTATTGTTTTTATGTGTATATTTTATGTTTTCTTCACTTTCTGGTTTATTGTTGCTTTGGTTTTTATTTTTCATTTTTTGTTTTTGTTAGTTTACTCCTCACTGTTCTCATTTTCTAATTATTTTTATTTATTTATTTTTGGCTGCGTTGGGTCTTTGTTGCTGCATGCGGGCTTTCTCTAGTTGCAGCGAGCGAGGGCTACTCTTTGCTGCGGTGCACGGGCTTCTCACTGTGGTGTCTTGTTGCAGAGCACAGGCTCTAGGCACACAGTCTTCAGTAGTTGTGGCATGTGGGCTCAGTAGTTGTGGCGCACAGGCTTAGTTGCTCCGCGGCACATGGGATCTTCCTGGACCAGGGCTCAAACCCATGTCCCCTGCATTGGCAGGCGGATTCTTAACCAATGTGCCACCAGGGAAGCCCCTCATTTTTGAATTCTTCTGTTTGTTTGTTCTCTTTTTTTTCTGTGTGTGTGTGTTGTGTTGTTGCTGCTCTTTGTTTTTGCTTTTGCTATTTGTCTTGGGTTTTGTTTGTCTGTTTGTTTTGTTTTCTTTTTTTGTCCCTCTGGCTGCACTGTGCAGCTTGCAGGCTCTTGGCTCCCTGGCCAGGGGTCGGGCCTGGGCCTCTGGGGTGGGAGCACTGAGCCCAGGATGCTGGACCACCAGAGAACTCCTGGGCCCAGGAAATATTAATCAGTGTGAGCTCTCCCGAGGTATCCATATCAACATCAAGACACAGCTCCACCCAACTGCCTGTAAGCTCCAGTGCTGGATACCTCATGCCAAACAACCAGCAAGACAGGAACACAGCCCAACCCATCAGCGGATAGGCTACCTAAAGTTGAACTAGCTCACAGACACCCCAGAAAACACACCACATGACGTGGCCCTGCCCATCAGAGGAAAAAGATTCAGCTCCACCCACCAGAGCGGATGCACCAGTCCCTCCCACCAGGAAGCCTACACAAGCTCCTGAACCAACCTCACTCACCAGCAGGCAGACAACAGAAGCAAAAGGAACTACAAGCCTGCAGCCTGCAGAAATGAGACCATAAACACAGTAGGTTAGACAAAATGAGAGGACAGAGAAATATGTTGCAGATGAAAGAGCAAGGTAAAATCCCACAAGACCAAATAAATGAAGAGGAAATAGGCAATCTACTTGAAAAATATTCAGAGTAATGATAGTAAAGATGATCCAAGATCTCAGAATTAGAATGGAGGCATAGATTGAGAAGATACAAGAAATGTTTAACAAGGACTTAGAAGAACTAAAGAACAAACAATCAGTGATGAACAACACAATAACTGAAATTAAAAATACACTAGAAGGAATCAATAGCAGAATAACTGAGGTGGAAGGATGGAAAAGTGACCTGGAAGATAGAATGGTGGAAATAACTGCCACAAAGCAGAATAAAGAAAAAAGAATGAAAAGAAAGGAGGACACTCTCAGAGACCTCTGGGACAACATTAAAGGCAACAATATTCAAATTATAGGGGTACCAGAGAAGAAGAGAAAGGAAAAGGGCCTTAGAAAATATTTGAAGGGATTATAGTAGAAAACTTGCCGAACATGTGAAAGGAAATAGTCAATCAACTCCAGGAGGTGCAGGGAGTCCCATACAGGATAAACCCAAGGAGAAACATGCTAAGAAATATATTAATCAAACTAACAAAAATTAAATACAAAGAAAAAAAAATTAAAAGCAGCAAGGGAAAGGCAACAAATAACTACAAGAGAATCCCCATCAGTTTATCAGCTGATTTTTCAGCAGAAACTCTGCAGGCCAGAAGGGAGTGGCAGGACATATTTAAAGTGATGAAAGGGAAAAACCTACAACCAATATTACTATACCCAGCAAGGATCTCATTCAGATTTGATGGAGAAATCAGAAGCTTTACAGACAAGCAAAAGCTAAGACAATTCAGCATGACAAAACCAGCTTTACAACAGATGCTAAAGGAACTTCTCTAGGCAGGAAACACAAGAGCAGAAAAAAACCTACAAATACAAACCCAAAACAGTTAAGAAAATGGTAATAGGCACATACATATTGATAATTACCTTAAATGTAAACGGATTAAATGCTCCAACCAAAAGACATAGACTGGCTGAATGGCTACAAAAACAAGACCCGTACATATGTTGTCTACAAGAGACCCATTTCAGACCTAGGGATACATACAGACTGAAAGTGAGGGGATGGAAAAAGATATTCCATGCAAATGGAAATCAAAAGAAAGTTGGAGTAGCAATACTCATATCAGACAAAATAGACTTTAAAATAAAGACTATTACAAGAGACAAGGAAGGACACTACATAATGATCAAGGGATCAATCCAAGAAGAAGATATAACAATTGTAAGTATTTATGTACCCAACAAAGGAGCACCTCAATACATAAGGCAAATGCTAAGAGCCATAAAAGGGGAAATCGACAGTAACACAATAATAGTGGGGGACTTCAACACTCCACTTACACCAATGGATAGATCATCCAGACAGAAAATTAATAAGGAAGCAAAAGCCTTAAATGACATATTAGACCAGATAGACTTAACTGAAATTTATAGGACATTCCAACCAAAAGCAGCAGAATACACTTTCTTCTCAAGTGCACATGAAACATTCTCCAGGATAGATCACATCTTTGGTCACAAATCAAGCCTTGGTAAATTTAAGAAAACTAAAATCGTATCAAGCATCTTTTCCGACCACAAGGCTATGGGATTAGAAATCAATTACAGGGGAGAGACCGTTAAGATGGCGGAGGAGTAAGATGTGGAGATCACCTTCCTCCCCACAAATACATCAGAAATACATCTACATGTGGAACAGCTCCTACAGAACACCTACTGAACGCTGGCAGAAGACCTCAGACTTCCCAAAAGGCAAGAAACACCCACGTACCTCGGTAGGGCAAAAGAAAAAAGAAAACAACAGAGACGAAAGAATAGGGACAGGACCTGCACCTCTGGGAGGGAGCTGTGAAGGAGGAAAAGATTCCACACACTAGGAAGCCCCTTCACTGGCGAAGATGGGGGGTGGTGGGGGTGAAGCTTCCAAGCCATGGAGGAGAGCGCAGCAATAGGGGTGCAGAGGGCAAAGCGGAGAGATTCCCACACAGAGGATTGGTGCCGACCAGCATTCACCAGCCTGAGAGGCTTGTCAGCTCACCCAGCAGGGCGGGTGGGGGCTGGGAGCTGAGGCTCAGGCTCTGGAGGTCAAATCCCAGGGAGAGGACTTGGGTTGGCTGCGTAAACACAGCCTGAAGGGGGCTAGTGCGCCACAGCTAGCTGGGAGGGAGTCCGGGAAAAAGTGTGGAACTGCCTAAGAGGCAAGAGACCATTGTTTCGGGGTGCACGAGGAGAGGGGATTCAGAGCATCATCTAAATGATCTCCAGAGATGGGTGTGAGCCATGGCTATCAGCGTGGACACTGGAGATGGGCATGAAAAGCTAAGGCTGCTGCTGCAGCCACCAACAAGAAGCCTGTGTGTAAGCACAGGTCACTATCCACACCTCCTCTCCGGGAGCCTGTGCAGCCTGCCACTGTCAAGTCCCATGATCCAGGGACAACTTCCCCAGGG